TAAGAAGGGTGCACGCGTACATGAAAAGGTGGAGGGAACAGAAGGTGCAAATGGTGACTAAAACTCCAAACAACACAACGTAGGGCGGCACGGAGTCCGGCTCATGAATCCTATAAAAAGAAGCGCTTCTCAAGAGGCAAACGGAGCTCGGTTTGCGTTTTTATTTTAGTTTTTGCATTTTTAATTTTTGCATTTCTATTTGAGTTTTAGGGGGTAAATCATCATCATAGTCATCATAACTTTTAGAAAAACATAGAAATCAAGTATGGGGTCTTTATCGTAAAAAAATAAATAAATACTTATGAAAATCATATGTGAAAAAGAAAAGGACTAGTTTTAAGGATTATATGGACTAAAGGATAATTTGTACCCAACTTCAAAGTTTTAAGCCCAACATGCCAAAAGCCCTCATAGTTGGCCCAGCCATGGCTCACGACAAGAAGCCCAAAATCACGACGGGGTGGTCAAAAGTCACGAACTTCAGTCAGCATATTAGTCACTTTCTTCAAACTCTTTTGTTCATACATTACGACGTGAAGTTGCAGTTGGTCCCCCCCCCCCCCCCCCCCCCCCCACACACACACACACTTAGATTTTGGCTGAAATCTTCATTTTCCTTGCTTCTCTTCTACATTACGTCATAAAAGGTACCATGGGACTGAGGCGTGGAATTCCAGAAGAACAAGACCACATTGATGGTCCAAGTATACATTTGTTATATCGATTCCCTCAAAATGTTTAGCAAACAATGCTTAATAATTATGAAAACAAGCTGGGATGGTTGTACAATCGGGAGTTTGCATTGGCACCATTGGTCGATTGGCCATGGTTACGTGGGGTTGGTATGGTAACGGAAGTGGAACAATATTGCACAAACTTATTTGTAGGAAAAGTTTTCACTTTCCAATGCAACGGGTTACACAATTTATTTTTTTATTTAGATTCCGTTTATCGGGAATTATCCGTTGAATTCTTTGCCACATTCAATTTCAAAGAACGGACAACCAACCTGACATACAACGGGGCCCTTGCATTTCAGTTGGGGGTGTTAATAGAAAATGTAGACTTCGTGAATTTGCTCGGAGAATTAGGTTATATACTAAATAGGAAACACGATCACCCCATTTTGTCTTATTTTTACAAGGTTGTGTTCTAGATTTTACTACAGAATTGTTTAACGTACAGTTTTCGAGAAGCATTTCCAATCATGAGTATTATTCGTGTGATGCTTTTGAAGGACAGATTCGGTCTACTATCTATTGATTCTTACATCGTCTGATCTTTTTCACTATTAACCACAAACATCATGGCGACAAGGTGTCGTCACAGAATTTATTCTATCTTTGGAGAATAATCACGCCAGGAGTTTTTTGCGACCTTCCATACATGCTTCCAATATTTTTAGGGATGAAGGCGGTAAATTCTCAGCCTGGTAGTCCCATTATCGGTGGACACTTGGTCACTTGCCTAGCTCGCTCATATGGTATTTTGAGTCCTACTTTTATTAGGAATCTTACATGTTTTAAAGATTCTAATTTGATGACTAAATTTTTTAGTCTTATGCGGGTTGTGGTGAATACTGGCGGGGGATACGCGATGCCCCTGAAAGATGATGAGCAACCCATTGTTCACCAAGGGAAACAACCGAGGAAAAGGGGAAGGCGGAATGTTAGAACTTGTGAGGAAAGAAGCCGAAAAAAACAACCACCTCAACCATTTGAGGGTGGGGTACCAACCGACCCATTCCAAAGTCGGGTTGGTACTTATTTGGACAATCTTCGTGGGGGCGTTAATTATCACAATCAAACGGTAGATATTTTATTGACACGCCTTTATGTTGAGTGAATGCCGACCATGCCGCCTCATTACCCGTATATTCCAGCATGGGAGGAGTTGTGGACGAGGCAAGGAAATGGAGCCGGGAAAAGTGGAGCACGAGAAGACGACGATGATTATTGATTATATCCTTTTATTTTAGTAGTTTTAGTTTATTTTGGTTTGTTTTATTGTTGAGTTTTTATTTAGTATGTTTTGAAAACTTGTAACCAAATTGTTTGATGGACATTTTTCTTCTTTCCACAATTGTTTGTTTTATTGCAGATTGATTAAGATATCATGATAGAAAAAACGAGAGAGTAGAAATAAGAGTGTACGAGAAAATCCATGTGATTTAGAGTTACGAGTCGAAGCCTATATTTTTTATTAAGTGTGGGGTCAATTTCATGAAAGAAAAGAGATTAGAGGAAGAGAGAGACTAAAGATGAGGGAAGAGTCGAGAAAAATATAGTTTTAGATTGGTCTTAATACATTTATACATTCAATTGCATTTCACTTTGATAGAATAATTATTGCAAAACTGCAATCTGTGAAGACCCAGTTCTCACGACGTGAGCTTATACTCCTCTCATCGTGAGCTTGATACCATCGTGATTCATAAATTGATTTACATTGACACCATGACGTGAATTACATCACCACGTTGTGAGAAGTAACAATGGCATTTTATTTTACTCTTCCAACCTTACAATGTGGCGTATGCTTTCCCACATTAAGATGTTATGTTTTGAAGATATTATGGACTAGACTTTTTAAAGATGCAAGCTTCTAATTCACATTTTTTTGCGCATTCACATGTCCTAGAAGATGCAAGTTCTAGTCACATACTCAAGGTGTTCAAGTTTCCACACGCGTTCAGAAATCGATATCGTCACTACTACCCCAGGGGAGTTTGTTCCTTTTTCTCCATTTTATTGCTTTTAAATTATTTTATGCATATAATTAGGGCATTGTATGTAATAAGTTTGGGGTAGGGGTGGACAAAAACGAACATTGCTACGAAATTTAAAAATTCTAATAGATTTGAAATAATAATCTAAAATTTTAATCTAGTAATAATAATAATAATAATAATAATAATAATAATAATAATAATAATAATAATAATAATAAAACTTAAGTTTCTGGTGTTGTGTGGGATGATCCAATGCGAACTCAAATGTTTAATTGAGCCAACATATGTTATAGTATATTTGTGGCTTCCCAGTCCTAGTGAAAAGTCATGAGATATAAAAGGTACTCTGGTAGTTTGTACAACATAATATTTTTGCAGCGTGTACCTGAAATCTATCAAAGAGAGCTTATGTAGTCATTGCACTTAGACTAATACCTCTAACCAATAAAGGTTGAAGTTAAGCTCCCTTTCTTAAGCATGTAGGATTAAGCGGAAAAAAGTGAGATATATATATATATATATATATATATATATATATATATATAAAGAGAGAGAGTGAGAGAGAGAGAGAGAGAAAGAAAGAGAGAGAGAGAGAGAGAGAGAGAGAGAGAGAGAGAGAGAGAGAGAGAAAGAAAGAAAGAAAGAAAGTAACAAAAAAGTTGTAAGCATTTTGGAGCTATCAAAGTATGAAGATGAAAAGATCAAAAATTCTGAAGAATCAAAAATTCAAGATACCAAAAATCAAACAAAAAGGTGGTGAATTCAAAGATATTAAAGAGTAAATATCATTAAAGTGAAGAATTCAAAGAACTCCATTGTGGTATCAAAGTTGTAATTTTTCTTGATTATTAATGCTTGGGTATAGCTTAACCAAAAATACCTTGAGGTTAAGAAAGATTTGTGAGGATGGATTTGGAGGGTTGCAGAAATGAGAGTCGTATAAATTAAGGGGTGAATGTTCATAAGGATTGTGAGTAGTTAGGATTGGGAATTTTTTAGGAATTATAGACACAAATATGCTCATTAAGGTTGTGGTATAATGGTTGTCCTCAAAATGGATTGACTTATGGCATATTGGTGATGAGGGTTTGACTTAAAAATAAATTAATTTTGTTCGATGGCAAGCAAAGGATAAGTGTCGGGTATTTGATAGTGCCTTATTGATACACATTTTTAGGCAATATTTTAATACACTTTAATTAATATTTTGGTTATTTGCAAAGATATACGGTACTTATTGAATTTATTGTATTATGTAGCCAAAAGGAACACTCTTGAAGAATAAGGACCAAAATTCACAAGAATTGGAACTTTGGAGGAATAAATATTAAAAGAGGCAAACATCAGCAAAAAAACCCAAGTCATGACATCATCATCAACATCACGACGTGGAGTGTGTATTCTAGAAGATAAGTACGTGGGAAGTTAGAATCCATCCCGATAAGGATTTGTATAAAAAGCACGACGTGAAACCCTTGTTCGTGTTGTGAAGCACGAATTTTCCAAACCTATAATTAATCTTAACTCTTACGATTTGGGAAGGCTTTTTGAGAGTTTTCTAGTGGGGATGTATTCTGAGAACCCGATTTTAAAGTCCAGAAAGTGCACAAAACATCCTTTTGAAGGAGAATTACTAAGAGATTAAGAGATTGAAGAACACATAATCACATTGCTTTGAATTACTTTAATTATGTCAATTTCTATTGAGATTGTGTCTATGTTTTCATCCATGAGTAGGTAAATTTAGTTGCTTTCGTTTAGCTAGATGATACTTTAACTATATTGTTTAGTTACTAATTTATGGATTTTAATAGTTGGTTTTATGTTTGTGGTTGACTATCATTACCTAGCATATTAATATTTGTGACTTTGAATGCTTGAATTCAAGTTAAGTGTAGCTTAGTGACCATTAAATTACATGAACTTGTTACCTAGTAGTTTAGTGACTATTAAATTGCTAGAGCTATGATCGACCAAATCTTAGATAAGTGATAAAAGTAACAAATTTAGTTGTGCTGGAGAGCACACTACTAGAAAATAGCCTTTTAATGACGCGCAAACAGTGACACTCACTGATAGAGGACGCGCATTTGTGTGTGCCCTAAAAAATAATGTCATTTTTGCAAAATTTGAAGGATAGAGGACACGCATTTGTGCGTGCCCTAAAATTAGTGTCAGAAAAGAAAAAAATCCGCAGGGCGCCTTTCATAAAATGTGTGTCGTCTAAATGTGTCTCTTTATAACATTTTAATGAAACACACGTTTTTAAGGCATGATTTCACCCGCCTCTTGAATCCCAAAATTTAAACCCCCCGTCTCTTCCAATTAGCAAGAAAAAGCCCTAGGCCTTCATCTTCATAGTTGCATCGCACCACCACCCAACCTCCGATCTCACACTGCCAAGTGTCTTCGACCATTCTTTCCTGTAGCACTACACCGATAACAAAACCCCCATCACTATTTTAGGTCACCATTCACCAACAGACTCACTATTCTGATCATTATTCTGAGACTTTAAAATCGAGTGTTCATTTGACCATAAAGTCAAAATTGAATCGCATGTTCATTCAACACAAAGTTATTGATATGGCCAACGACGACTCCACCTCCGGTCTCTAGTCGATGACACCGACGAAGCCTCCTCCTCTGGCCGCTTCCGTCTCCCCCTTCTTTCACGTTGTTTACAGGTACGATCCATCAGCCATAAGACCATAAATCCTTGTTTTCATCTTGTACATCCGAAAACCCCCTTATCATTTCCATGACCTAATTAACTCTTTTCATTTCCTTCTTCAACCATGAAAGAATCGACAAAAAGCTAGGGTTCCATCAAAATCGGCGGTAGCTATAGAAAACACCAAACCACCAAAAAAGCAATTGAAGGTTTAGGGTTGTGTAAAATATATCGGTAACAAAATTATGCTCAAGATAAACAGATGATATGCCTCAATCTATTGAGAAAATGATACAACGATCCCAGGAATCTTAAGGAAAGCAACACCAATGGGAGGTTAAATCGGAGTTGTGCCATTGGTCTACTACAGATGTCGATGTTTCATCTGGTGATTAACCTAACAATATACTCTACTCCTCACTAAACCAAGGGCATTAGCAGATCTAAAGGAGACAAATACAAAGTTCTCTAATCAGATTGATAAAACTGTCATCGGGATCCCTAGGGCACCATATCGTTGTTGGACTTCAAGGGGGAATAACACGATGTTGTGGAGATCATCACCCAACGATCACAAGTCGCGCTTTCCTATTACGTAGCCACCGTCTTCACTACTCCGGGAGAAAATCCAGTCATGAAAGGTAATACATCGACCTTTGTTTCAACACCATTATCGTTGTCTAACATGGATGCTTGGCATAACTTTAGTTTCTCGTGAAGTCAAGTATGTAATCCTTTATTTCAAACTATCTTTTTGGACATTAAGCATTCTTTAAACAGTTTATGAGTTTTACTAATATATATAGAGCAACAAGTTTTACTAATATATAAAGGTTGGCATGTTTAGATTTCTTATGAATTTTATGAATCCGTATTATTAGGTTACAGTATGATCTATCTAGTAGCAGATAGGAAAAAAGAAGAAAAGTGTTGATAAGATAGTGTCCATATCAATCCACTGTATGTCATGGGTAGCAAGAGACATGTAAGTCTCATGACCCAATAGGAAGTCTCCATGATAGTGTTTATGGCTCCACATCCCATCTATAGGGATAGTTTGGGAACCTGCAGATTAAATTAGTATACCTAATGAACCTACAAACTTGTATTGCTTGTATCTGCCTCTTGTTTTATTGATATTTTCTTCTTTCACTGTTTTGTATCCATATTGTATTTACATGCTTATCCAACTGTGTTGCAGTTTTACCAAATTGGTCATTGCAAATATGGAGAATCTTGCAGATTCAATCACTCCAAATCTGAGCCTGAAAACTCTATCCCACGGATTAAGGGTAGTTGAACCCTATGAGGTACCTAGAGCTGAAGGGCTTGTTGTGAGGGTAGTTATGTCTGTCGAGAAATAGGTGGAAGTGATAAAGAATTTTAAAGACATACTTTAGAATATGTGCCTGTTTGGAATGTGTGTTTAGAATTTTGGATCAGAGTGTGGGGGCCCAAATCAACATTGTGTGTATATCTCCTATCTTGATTTTGTAAAGTACTTTAGACCTGAGAGAAAGAGTGTGAGTGGTGAATCTCTTAGGACCTTTGTTTATCATGAAATATTGGTACTTCAACTTCTTTCAGTTCTCTTTTCTTTACTTTATGAACAGTTGTGTTGGTGTGTTGATGAGCTTGATTAAAAGTATCTTTTTTGTTTTTTTGCCTATGTTATGATGATCATCAGATTAGATACCTTGAGTATTTCAAGACATGGGGTTTTGCCACTTGTTATATATGGGCATGTCCTCTTATAAAAGGAGAAGATTACATTTTTTACTGCCATCTAGAAACTCAGAAAACACCAGAGCAGGATAAGCTACGACAGTGGTACCTCTCTATGTCTCTGCACATAAGGTGTTTGGTAAAATGCCTCGAAGAGTATATTTTTCTGATTACAAGTTTTTTTATGTTTAGGTACAAGTCAATGCTAAAGAAAGGTTCGGAAGATGGTGTTGTTATGGACTACACAAATTTATACAATCAGTTTTTTGTTGCTAGTGGAGAGGGGAATACAAAGATAACTGCAGCTCATTTGCCCTTTTTTGATAGTGATTATTGGTCAGGGGCAGCTGAAAATATAGGTAGGAAACTTGAAGTAGAAGAAACTAGTGATGGTGGATTGCAAAGCAAGCTCCCTAACAAGAGAAACTTGAAAGCCATGGAACAGGATAAACCTGATGTTGTAGTCAAGGATGTGTTAGTGATGCAAAAGTTAATCTTTGTGCTTGCTATATGCTGGCTCACGTAGACTAATATTCTTCTTTCTTGATTTTACTTGTAGTTAGGCCAAACTATTCTACATATGAAGGAAAACTTTATGATTGTCCATTTACAACATATTTGCACTCAGTGCCATGAAGTGATATTATCTGGAAGCACATGGTTTTGCAGCCACTACAAAAATATTCAACTATGTTCAAGGTAAATGAGCTCTTTGTTTTTTTCATCTCTTTCTCTTAAATAAAAACATATGTGTTTACTGATGATTATAGTGTGCTTCACTGCAGATGTTTTAATGCTGAGAAGAATCTTTCTAGGTGTGAAATGCACACATGCCATTCTGGTGAAAACAATCTACTATATGAGGTGAGAAACTCCATAAAAACACCTTAAAGATCTTCCTTTTTCTTTTTCCTTTTTTCGTGTTAGTGTTGATGTAGTTGAGTTTACAGGTTATGGTGAAGAATATGATTGTTGATACCAAAGATAAAGATGATGTGTTTGTGAACAGTTTCTTTGAGACTCCTGATGCCTTCTTAAACAAATGCCAGAAATCCCATTTTCAGTTTGATACATTATCCCATGCCAAATATTCGTCTATGATGATCTTGTATCATCTAATCCACAAGTCGCCTCCTATTTAACCAACTTGCACTGCTCGCAACAAAGATTTGGTGGTTGAGCGATGTTGGCATTGTGACATCCGTACAAAGTATAATGTATATGAATCATGCTATAAGATGAAACGTGGTGCTTATCATCCTCATAGATTATATCCACCTTCTCTCATAGTTGTCAGGGGATCTAAACCTAAACATGGACTAGTCAAGGCATCAATGTATACTTACTTTCTGGTGACAAAAAAATTTCAGTTGAATTTCGCATCAGTAGTTGGAATCCTAAAACAATAGGTAATAGATATTAATAATAACAACACAATAATGTTATTCAAGTTTAAAAAAAAAAGATTTCATGATGATATTATTTGTGTAGGTGTTGTATGGAGTTAAACCTGATGAGAAAAGTATGTTTATAAGCCAACTCTAGAAGGACAACCGGAATGTTCTTACACCAGAGACAACAATTGTATGGCATGTATCTGAAGCCAAGGATTCACCAAACTGGCGAAAAGTCTTGGGATAAGAACTTGCAAAACATTTAACAACTTGTGGATTTAATTCTAACCTTAGAGGTCAGTATCTTCTTCACTGTAACTTTTAAATTCATTGTGGTATTACATATTTTGTATCCCTTCAGGAATTAGGAATTAGGAATTTGTTCAAAAGTATATTCAGAATTTTATGCTTACAATGATGCTTTATACCTTTCTTGCCTTCTACCCCCCCCCCCTTATTTCTCTTTTACTTGTTTTTTTTCCCTTTTTTGTTTTTTTTCCCTTGTTTCTCTTTTGTATCTAAATTATAATTTTACAAAGTTTAATATAAACAACTATAATGTAGGCTAAGTTCAACAGAAACATGGTCTGAAAATAATGTTCTGAAGTTAGTTGTTGCTGTTGAATCTGATATAATACATCCAATTGGAAAAGCTATTCGGGAAGCTGCTAAGGTTGCTAAATGTTCCAATGTAAAGGTACCTTATAAAAATTATTGTTTTGCCCTTACTGAAATGAAATCACTACTTTTTTTTCTTTTTATAAATATGATTGATTGATTTGTTAATGGTATGCAGGCTGATGATGGAACATATATGGAGGAACCTGGTTCAGGTGCAGTAGCCTCAATTGGGAAGAAGATAGTTTTTGTTGGGACATTGGAATGGGTTAGAAGGTATAATAAGATAAAAATGAAAATATTATGCTGTAAATAATAGGAAGAAATGATGAGTATATATTAGTGGTAAGTTCTTTTTCTTTTTCTTTTTTATATAGTTCTTAGTGGTTTGTATATATTAATATATTATATTTTTATGTTTACAGAGCAAGCATAAGTTGTGAATTCAAGTCATTACTTGTCATCCACGCTCAGACAGCAGTCCAGTACACCAGGTGGCAAACCAATGACATGGAGGATTTTTTTTGACATGATATTTGGAACAAGAAGGTGTCCCTTAATAGCAATATAGTATTAGCTTATATAGTTAGGGAAACCTCTTAATAACAATGTACAATCAGATCACTTTAATATCAATGTATTATACTTTTTTGACATGATGTTATTTGATGAAATTGATTGCTTTGGTATATATTTTTTTCTATATTTTTGTATAATGCGTAAAATAGTATCGTAAAGGCATGTCGTGTATGCATATTGTAAATGGTTGCTGATGTTTATGACACGCAAATGTATGTTGTCTTCATTTATGATAGGGGATTTAATGATACGCAATGAGTGTCCTAAACGTGCGTCGTAAGGTGACGACACGCAAATGTGTGTCGTCTTCCTTTATGACAGGGTCTTCCTTGATATGCATTGCATGTCGTAAATGAGCGTCGTAAATGCGTGTCGTAATTGCTCGTCGTCTATAGACGGCGCGCAAAAGCCTGTCGTCTCTCGTTATGATAGGGCCTTCCTTGACACGTATTTGCACGTCGTCTGAGCGTTTTACAACACGCATTGCACGTCGTAAAAGCCTGTTTTTCTAGTAGTGACATAAATTTTGACCATAATTGTGTTTGTTTTAGATAAATCTTACATATATCATCTATAATTAATAACTAATTATATGTTTTGCTTGTGTATGACCATACAAGGTAGTTCATGAATTGATGAAAATATTAGTAAATTTGGACTTGAATTGCTAATTACATAATAATTGTTAACCAACTTTAATAATCCATAATTAGTAGCTAACCATAGAGGAGAAGTGGTTTCGAACTAAACAGAAGTGTTTTTCGAATATTGATTAAAATTATTAGGTAATTGTTTAAGTTTTTCTGAACTTGTAAAATCAGATAGAAAACCATTTTTAACTTTTTTCTTGCTTTAGGTTAATTTTAGTAATTATATTAGTTAATTAAATTTGTTCCCTGTGTTCGACCCCAACTTACTTTACTATACTATAATCCGGCTAGATACACTACCTATAGGTGCAATAGTAGATAAGTAGTTAGGTTATAAATTTAAACCTAGATAGTTATAGTTTGCACAACATCACTTCCATTAAGAGCTTAATCCTTATGCTCTTTTGCTCAAATTCTAGACCCTAAAGTAACATCCTTAACCATAAAGTTTCCAACTTTATGGTCTTGCATGGCTAATAAGTGCCTAACAACAAAAACCCTTACTCTTTAACTCATTAAGACACTAAAACTCATGCATGAAGGGAAACTAACAATCAAGATTGGATTTTTATGACCTTAGACACTCCAAAACGTCTGGAAGGACAATCCTTTGGATCTAGAGCATGTCATACTCAAGAACACTATTATTTGGGACAAAAGCTCATAATAACATCATACAACCTACTAATCAAATAAGCCTCAAGGTATGAACTTTATACCTTTCAGAGCACTGTTTTGAAAACCGGACTAGACCGGCCGGTTGAACCAGTTCAACTGGAACTGGTCAGGTCACCGGTTTTGTAATGGCCAAAAACAGCTACCAAACTGAACCATTAAGAACCGTTGATTCGCTGGAAAACCGGCCAAACGGTACCCGGTTAAAAACCTTGTATTTTATAAAAATAACTTGAAATTTTAATGGGCTACAATGAGCGGTCCACAAACTTTAATTGTCGTGATCCTACTCTTGCAACTGCGCTTCTCTTGATGCCTAGCTGCACCTTCTTTTTTATAAGAATCTCATCACCTTTCATTTTTTTTCTACCGATGTGGGATTGATTTTAGTTTTTCTTTGTGTTAACATTTAGTACTTATTTTCTTAAAAGAACACTCATTTTAAAAAGTTGAAAAAAAAAATTGCTAAGATTAAACACACGCATATATAAATATCTTTACACAAACACACACACACACACACACACACACACACACACACATATATATATATATATATATATATATCGGTTCATCCGGTTTTGAGACTGGTTGAACCGGTCCGACCAATTGAATCATCGAACCAGTTAAATGGTCGGTTCGTTGTCCGGTCCGGTTTTCAAAACATTGTTTCACAGATGTAGGAGGGTGCAAAACTTCCAAATCCAAATGTTGTTGTCTCTAATGTATTCCAACTATGATAATTATGCCTTTTATATTTATGAATGATTCTTGCGATGAATTGACGGTTAGGATTTGCAGGCGAGGTGTGTGGTAGTTCTTTTTTTCTAGTAGAGAATCGGTGTTATGAATGGACTGTTAGATGTATTAATTGCGAATCTGCATGGGATTCTTGATGTTAGAAGCAGATATGATTGGGGAATTTTCGAGGTCTCCATCTGAGATTTGAAAAATCTTTGAGTTTTCTTGGTCTTTATCTAGAAGATCATCTTGCTTTGTGATATATATATATATATATATATATATATATATATATATATATATATATATCCCAAAGTTCAAGGATGTTATGCATCTGGGTGAGCCAGTTTGATTTTTGGTCTGTTTGCAATGTCAGCTCGTGGTGGTTCAAACCCTAAGTGGGGGAGAGTTGGATATTTTTCTTAGAGGATCAGCAATATGTTCGAGTTATGGTTTTAAAAAAATGGGTCATAAGGATTTACGGTTCGGTTATGTGAAACTTTGGTTCAGGATTTGGTCAAGACGGGGGTGCAGAGCAAGTTGCCATCATATGTATGTGTTCAGGAATGCAGGAGTTGTCTTCTTGACAAGAAGTTGTTGGCCAAGGAGCTCATTATAGCCAAGGGTTCCTTTCGAGAACGTCGAGGAATAGGTCAAGAGACGGTTAGGTCGCCCAGGTTGAGTATCAATTGTTGAAGGATTTGTCAACTTCTTTTATATATTGAGGTTCCCTTTGACCCGACTGACCAAGAAATCAGTGGCCTTTCGTTGGGGACTTGAGCATCAGGCAACCTTCGAGACTCTCAGACAGCGGTTGTGCAAGACACTGATTCTCACCCTGCCAGAGGGTGTAGATGATTTCGTGGTTTACTGTGACGCTTTGATCACGGACATGGGTACGGTACTGATACAGTGGGGTCACATGATAGTAGGTTTCGAGAACCACGTTAGAGTTCCGGTTAGGACTCTAGTTCCGTGATATGTTAGGTTTAGTGTGTGTTCGACCCGGTATGGAAAGTGTTGTAAGACTATGGGGGGTAGCCATAGCATTCACTAGTAGTCAGATGGTATGGAAAGTGTTGTAAGACTACGGGGGTAACCGTAGCATGCACTAGTAGTCAGATACTATGGAAAGTGTTGTAAGACTACGGGGGTAGCCGTAGCATTCACTAGTGGCTAGTTAGTATGGGAAGTGTTGTAAGACTACGGGGGGTAACCGTAGCATCACTAGTGGTCTGTTAGCATGGAAAGTCTTGTAAGACTACGAGGGTATCCGTAGCATTCACTAGTGGTTAGATAGTGATACAGTGACGTGAGACTGCGGGTAGCCATAACATTCACTAGGTTGGTAGATAGTTTGAGCGTGTTGTTAGAACGCGGAAGGAACAGTAGTACGCACCAGTTCGGGTATAGTAATGAAGATATGGAACTCCATGGATAGGATTTCGGAATTACTCAAAGGGATTAGATCTGGTTGAGCTAGTGATAAGACTGTAGGAACGTCCCTATAGTTATGAGATTAGGGAAGCAATAGACTGCTTAGGTTCATGTATGATATAAGGCTATCGTTGGTCATGGAGCCCTCACTTTAAACCTTGGATTCAGTAACATCAGGATTCGATGCATGGACCCGATCGGTTGGATCAGGAGGTTGTTAAAGCCATAGTGGCATGATAACTAGTGGCAACTAGTTCCAGAGAAGGATTTCGTTCATAAGTCGACTAAGTAGGGAGCCCTTTGGCTCCACAACCGAGCCGGAACCTGATGTTTTAGATGATTGGGAACGGATTGAGACCAAGGAGGTCTCGTTAGATTTTGGAAAGCAGCCATGTGGCAACATACTGCTTCAGGCAGTTCAGTGTTCGGGCAGTTTCTGTGTTTGGGTAGTGTTAGTATTTGTGTTTTACGTTGCAAGTACGGACGTAATAGTTGGTTGATTGGGAAGTCATAAGTCAATCATAGCGGGATTAGCTGAGCCTTGGCCAAGTATACGTGATCTACAGGGATAATTGGGTTTGTGATTTCAGTTTTTTAGTGGGAGCCGCAGGCTATCAGAAGTTGAGTAGTCAACTAAGGGATAAACTGACTGGATTCATCGTTGATGATTCAGTATGGGTGGTCTATCGGGATTCAGATCATCTCGAGACCGTAGATTTCAGACGAAGTAAATGAGATCTTATTGCAAGGAATTCGTTCACCTACGGATTTTAGGGCTTTACTAGGATTGGTCATGGCTACCCTGGGAAGGCTAGGGTGTGCCCAAGTTGGTGACCATGCTACTAGAGTGGTTGGGCGAGTAAGGAATGGTAAGGAATGATTTCGAGGATGAAATCTAATTTAAGTGGGGGAGAGTTGTAACACCCTGTTTATTTATTTAATAAATAAATTAATTGATGAACGAATAGTATCCCTAAAATAAATAATTATATAGCAAGGTGTTGGTCTCGAGGAGCTAATTGTCACAATTTTAGAAGTTGAGGACTAAAAGTGTAAGTTTCGGATAGGATTCATAAATATTATGAAGGCAGGGACTAGATGGTAACTTCTGGGACTTCATTTGAAGGTATTTAAGGGGCTAAGAGGTTGTTTAGTAAATATTGCACTTGAATTGTAAAGAATTATAATGTTGAGGGCTAAAAGGGTAAAATTAGGACTTGTTTTATAAGGAATGGGAGGAGGAGGGGCCGGCTATGTCAATATGGGAAGATGTTTCATATGATTCGGGTATACAGCCTTTCAATCGTTTCAACCCTAACCCTAACACTCCACATATTCATCAGCTGCCATCTCTCCACTCTCAAATCTCCCCAGCGGTGCCGCTACCATGCTGTTTCCGATCAACCACCAACGACGAGGACCCAAACCACCGAAGCCAACCGTCGT